CTGTGTTCAGGTATTTTCATGTGTGTTACCCCGAATATTTGAAATTATGAGATTAAAAACCACTAACAGCAAAGGAAAACTCAGTGAGTATAAAAAAAAATTTAATTGGTGTTCATGAGAGACATTAATTCAGAAAAGTAAGTGGATGAATAAATGGAACATGGAGTGAGCTGCATGTCCAATTTTGGACTGTTGGTTGATGACAGCAAGAGAGCAGCCTTACAGCCTGGCAAGCTCAGCCAGACTCTAGAAAGACACATAACCTGCGTGTGATCAGCACTCAGGACCCTCAGTCACAGTTCACTGCAGCTCTTAACATTCTAGAGTAGGGAGAAAACTGAGGGCCTAGCAGTCTGTTGGACCACCTTTGTGGTGTTATGTGGCCCTGAAAGGGGCCCTGACCCCCTGGCCATAGAGGAGCACATTACACCCTAAATTGTCATCCTGTCTTGCTGGGCTTGCCCCTGACAGCCACAAAGTGCCTTCCCCAATCTGCTTGCTGCCTTTCACATTTCCTCTACGACTAGTACTACTGGATGTTATGCTAACGGTTGATACTGTTTGTTGTTTACTTGACTGACACATTTTCCTGTAGTTGTCATATTTGATGTAACCTATATATTTTTCTCCTTCACTTCCTGCCATTTGTTAAAGTTGTTTTATTACACTGAAAGTGCACTGTATTCATTTGCTAGAGCCAAGAAAAAGTACCACAGATGAGTGACTTAAACAGCAGAAACTTTCTTCCATTTTAGAAGCTAGAAGTATCTTCCAGCTTGGTTTCTTCTGTGGCATCTCTCTCTGGTTCTACATGACTGTCTTCTCCCAGTATCCTCACATCATCTTCCCTTTGTGTGTATCTGTCCTGATTTCCTTTACAATAGGCATTAATCATTTAGAATTAGGCCCATGCTATTAGTTTTTTATTTTGTTTTAATTGAATTACTTCTACAAAGATGCTTTCTTCAAGTAGTCACCTTCTGTGGTGCCAGTGGTTAGAACTCCACCACATGGAGTTTGAGAGGACACACTTCTTCCTCTAAAACCTATACTTTGAATGTTGTAATTTTATGGGTTGCTCATTGCCTGCTGTCTTGCACCCCTAGACTTGAGACTATTGAGATGGCAGGAACTTTTCCTAGAGAACCAGACTGTTTCACAAACCTGTGGGAAATGCATGCATGGAGGTTGGTGAGAAATTTGGGCTGGAAACTGGCACTGTGTCTTTGTCAGTAGTAGAGCTGTGTAGTAGACTACAAGATGTCCAGATAGATGAGGCAGAGAAAATACATTTAAGTCAAGACACCTTTAGGTATAAAAACAGATGTGTATTGCTTATAACTGTCCATCCTCTACATCCAGCACTGAGAATGAAGTAGGAATTGAGGGCCTTGTGTAACACCAAAGGTCAGACCTGAGTCATTTGAGAGCAAGGATAGTGATTGTCAATAGATCTGTCCTCAAGTGCTTAGAGTGTCAAAGCACCACAGGTCTGAGAAAAAACAAGGTTGTATGGTAGAGCACACATTTTCAATACCTATCATCTTTTCCCAAACCAACTGTGTCTAAAAAATTAATTGATTAAAATATGCCCTTAACATACTATATCTAGGGATCTGCTAAGTCCCTAGAAACCAGCTGCCAGCTTTTTAAAATAAAACTGAAATTCACTCTCTGTTTCTACCATTATTGGCTTGTACTTCACACATGAAGAAATACAAATGGCACATAAATGAATGAAAAACTGTTCAACATCATTGGTCATTCAAAGATGCAAATTAAAACAATGCTGAGATTCCATCTCACCCTAGAAAGAATGACTATTGGCAAGAAGTCAGCTGGTAACAAATACTGGAAGGGCTGTGGGGAAAAAAGAACCCTTCTTCACTGTTGGTGGGAGTGCAGACTGATATAGCCACTGTGGAGATCAGTGTGGAGAGTCCTCAGAAAGCTAGGATTAGGAGTACCATTCAATCCAGCTATTTTCCTCCTGGGTATTTTTCCAAATGAACTGAAAACATCATACTACAGTGATTTATGTGCACCTGTGTTTATAGCAGTGTGATTTATCATAGCTAAATCTTGGAAATAACCCAAATGCCCATCAGCTGACAAATGGGTAAAAAAGATGTATGTTTACACAGTGGAGTATTACTAAGCTACAAAAAAGACAGAGTGGAGGCTTTTATATAGATAAATAGATGCAACTAGAGAACTAGTAAGTAAATCATGTGCAAACATTGTATTGTCTTGCTAGAGTAAGAACTTAAAAGAGTAAATAAAATCTGAAAGGTACAATAGAGGCTATACAAAGGAAAGAAGAAGGAAAAACTGGGATGAGAAGAAGGACAAAAAGATATGTTTATACACAGGATTGCTTGGATAACTGATGACTGATTTCTATACTCTATTGAAAGGAGAAGTTAATGCTTAAGTTTCTTTTTTAATTTCTTATAACTTTTAAAAATCAATTTTGTATGTTTATCTGGTAATCTAAACTAATTTGAAGATAACATTATGTAATACAACAGCTATTGTCAAATTCCTTTAGAAAAAGATTCTGATTTTGAAGGAGATTAGAAGAGTTAAACACAAGGCCAAAGTGACATTTATTTTTTCCTCAGTATACAATGATTATTCTTGGTTCAAACACTAAAAAAATGCCTGATTATAGATGGCACTGGTCAATTTGTAAACTAAATTAATGTCTCCAAAGAATAAATGTGAAATAAGAGAAAAAGTCTCTTTAGTTGTGGATTTTGGTATCAAATACTCATATTCCCAATTCCTTTGCCAAAAATCATTGACTGTTTTTCTTAAGAAAATCAAGGTTTTTGAAAAAAAATCCTTAGAATAAGTGTAATCATGTCTGAACTCACACTAACTATTTTGCCCTACAGATTAGATTACCGTACAAATTGAATTCTTTAGTATTGGCACTTTAAAGCCAGAAGTAAAATGCTAACGCAGTGTAATTTTTTAAATGCAGCATATCACAGAAACACAGAAAAATGTTAACATTTACTTCACATGTATTTTTGCTTCTAAGAATATCTTATTTCTCACTAATATTTCTAATATTTTAAAATTGCTCTAAAGTATGCTTTTTAAAGTGATAATTTTAAGAAGTGATCATTTTATTTCCACTTATATTTCGTGAATTTACAATGGATCACAATTTGGGGTCTCCTATAATTAAACCCAAACTTGGATGTTATGTGCTATAACTTTGTTATATGCTTTGAAAAAAGCTTGGGTATTTTAATTTTAATTTTGTTTTCTTCACCCATTCCTGGCTAATGGCATAGCTCCTTGTCCCAAACAAGGCAGATGGTGTAATTTTTCAGGAAAGAGCTGGGCAGAAGAGAGGGGAAATCTGTAAAGAGAAAGATGGTTTAGGGTTGGGGAAACCACATGGCTCAGAAAGCAGACCCCGTGCAAAGTGAAAATATATTGCCAGTTCTTGCAGGATGAGCTCTCAAGTATTTAAAACTGAAATGTGGGTGGTGTCTGTGGACTGGTATAATTTTGAGGAAGAGGTGGAAGGCGATTTGCATTCTGAGTTAATGCAAGTACAGAAGGATAGTAAAAAGAAGACAGCTTAGAATCTAGAAACCAAGTTTGAGTTACAGTCTGACCTATGCTGACTTTGTTGCTTTAAGTTGCTTTGTTGCTTTAAGTCCTTTTGAATTTCAGTTTCCTTAGCTATATAGTGAGACCTAAGCACAGGCTTATCATCAGGATAAATTAGTTAATATATACAAAACTGCTTTGTTAGCTGGGATGCGCTCTAAGCATTACTGGTGCAGACTAAAGATAGTTGTCATAGTATTCCAAAGAATGAGCAAAGCCACCCACGCTTTCTACCTCAGACTTCCTAAATAAATGGATTGATTGAGACGCAACAAAACATTATACAACAAATATTAAGCTCGAGGCTTAATATTTCCAAAGCCAAAAAGTGATTGCTAAGTCTGTTTGTTAATCTATTGAGGTATGATTCTTTATTGTTTATTAAATGTGTACCTTATTTACAAAACTTAGAGAATCAAATCCTAAGGGACTCTTAGCTAATTTCTTCCTGTCTTCAAGCAGGGCTATATCAAATGTGAATTAGTCTTGACAGATGGTTACTGGATTGTTTCAAAATTTTTTAAAGCAGATTTCACAGTTTTCCTCTCTAAATTCTTTTAGTAATTTAACAATGCTTCTGCCAAGTTCTTTCTTATAGCTGACCTAAATCTGTAGTTGTAATTTTAAGTCTTTTTCCCCCACTCCTGTCTTTACTGAGATAGAGAACAGCTGGTCAGAAACCTTATGCTAATAACGCTTTGTATATTTAAAGAAGAGTTACTCAGTTTGACTCCCTCCCTGTTCTGCCTCCCACCCTTCAGAATTCATCAACTAGTATTCTCTGAGTCATTCATGGCAGTGTCACCCAGCTCCGTTTCCCATTTCAGATGTTTGGCTGCTGCAGGCATCTGGATACAATGTGGTGTTAGTGGCCACAGAGACCTGGAGAGATCTAGGAGGCTACTGTCTTTCTTCCTTTGCTCTATGTATAATTTTTGGTGTGATGGTAAATGCCCAGAGTAACTCCTGAAGTGTGTGATCGTCAGACCCATTTATACTATAAACATAGAGTTTACAAGAATAATTATCAACACAGGTTGCTTGGCAAGTCAGGCTTCCTAGTGAGTGCATGCACGCTGCCAGACCTGCTGTTAAGCTGCCACTTTCCCTGCTAAGGATAATGTGATTGATATCTGCTCTGTCAGACTTTATCATGGAAGACATTGAGGTAAAACTCTGAGCATCTGTGTTGTACATATTAAAGAAAAATACTAACAATCTGAAAGAGTCCAGGGCTTTCTTCAGGGCTCTAACTTGGAATCAGGAAATAAATGACCATTAGAACCAAGCTCATTATGCTGATATGATGTGGTTCCAGAGAAGGTCCTGTTTTTAATCTGAGTATGTGTGCTTTTCTGTTTCTACAGGTTCACTTCACGGAACTCCTTGTCTGGGTCAGGCAAGAACCATTTCCAGACAAGGAAATGGAGGGAAGGCTTCCTAAGGTAAGATCCGTAGCTGCCATTTTGTTAACACCATTTTCACTTTGGAAACATTTGTTTTTCATTTGGATGTCCGTCATGCACTGTTGTAAGCCAGTGATACACACCTGAAATTCCAGCACTCTGGGATCTTGAGACAAGAGGGTCACAAGTGTAAGCCCAGCCTGGAGACCTTAGCAATTTAGGGAAACCTGTCTCAAAATAAAAATGAAAAAGAGCTGAAGATGTAGCTCACTGTACTTCACTACCACAATAGTCCATTAATATGATACTACACTAATCTCACAAATAACATATTTTTGATAACATAAAGTTCTATGACTTATTCACATTGTCTATTGACAAATACATTGAAAATGAATTTTCAATTATAAAATCAGCTTATCAAATATGCATTTTACAAATTTTCAAATTTGTTTCATTGTTGGTAAAACAAACTCAAGTAGGACAGCCTAAACATTAGAAGACAGTTTGAATTGAATGATTACATAAGAGTCCTGGGCCTGGGGAGATAGCTCAATAGAATAAGTGCTTGCCTGGCAAGCTCAGGGTCCTGAGTTCAATTCCTGGTACCAGAAAAAAAAAAAAAAAACATAAACAAATGAATAAGTCCTAAAAAGTTTGAAATGATGACATTTTGTCTGTTTATCTGGATTTCTAATAACATTATCCATGAAATATAATGAGAAGAACATTAAGAAATTACATCTTTTACCTTATTTTAGGCCTGGTTTTCTTTTTGTCACCTTAGTGTAATAATTCTGTGTCTTAACAAAACTCTTAAAATAACATCTTCTAGCATGTAGTGCCATTTTTGAAGCAAACACAGTTTACCAGCTTTTACTATAAGTACCTTTGGACTTTGCCTATTAAGGCAAATACCAATTTGACCTCAGGTAGGAAGACTGTGCTTTTTACCACCAAACTGCTGATTTTGCAATTAGTAAAGAGTTCATTGACAATAAAATTTCTATTCAGAAGTTTCACAGGCAGCATTTAGCAGTGACAAAATCCTCCCCCAGCTGTTACTGTATTTCAGTATTTAACGAACTCTTCATTTTACACTAGATAGTATAAAACAGTAGATTCCTGTTACTGATTAGCATAAGTTAATGTCAACTGGTAGTTTGCACAGAAAGAAAACAATCCTAAATTTTTACTTTTTCACTTTCTGAAGGTCAGGGTTGAAGTCATTGGCGGAAGGTAGATGAGCAAAATTATTTTGGCCCTAATCTACATAGAAAGCTAAAATACTAGAGATATGACATCCCCTACCACCACCTGGAGTTGCAGCAGCAGCATAACCCTAGACATTGTCTCTCCCTCCCTCCCTCTCACCCTCTTCCTCCCTTCTTCCCTCTCTCCCATACTCTCTCTGTCTGTCTGTCTCTCTCTCTTTCGCTGTCTGTCTGTCTCTCTCTTTCTTTCTCTCGGGAATTGAACGCAGAACCTTTCACATGCCAACCACATACTCTTTCACTGAGCTGAAGCTCCACCCCTTTGAATGAGTGAATAAATAAATGAGTAAATGAATGAATCAATGAATGATACTTTTTTCCCTAGATATTCTATACTGAGGTAGTTCAAGACATAATTCCCCCAAGGAAGCTGAGCATAAAACAGGAACACAGTGTTTGGCCATTCTGTTAATTCTTACCCTATAGGGTCATCTAAAAGACCTCTTTGGTACTAGTGACATCAGTGGGATAGGTAGGACCAGTTCCTCAGGGAGATTAATGGTGCTATTTTTTGTGCTTGGAAAGCCAGCCCAGGTGCCAGGTCCTGCTTACACTGAGGCATGCTCCATGAGGTGAGGGAGGGATTGTGGGTTTGTGTCTTCTATTTTAAGTTACCTCCTCTCTAAATATGTGAATAGTATTTCACGTGTATTTGTTCTTCCTTCAGCAGCTTCCTTCTGCCAAAAACTTATTTCGGCATAATTGTAAAAAAAAAAAAAAATCTCCGCTTACTCATTCTAAAACACATTACTGAGTAGCTGGAAGCTAAGCTCCCAGCAGACATTAGGAGAGACACCTACCCTGAGCCTTATCAGCTGCAGTAATAGATCTGTGGGGAACACTGACTGCCTCTCTGCCTGCCCCATCCCTAGCCCTCGAGTTACTGTTATTGCCCATCTTGTAGAGACCATGATGTGCTGGATCATGGAGGAAGGTGTGACTATTTTTTCTTCAAATTTTATAATTTCTGGGCGGGGGAGATAGCTCAGTGGTCTAAGCACCTGCCTGGACCCGAGTTCGATCCCATCCTGGATGCACCGTGCAGGTGCTGAAACCAGGAATGGGGGTGCACATCCCAGCACTGGAGAAGCTGAGACTGGAAGATCACTATTAGTCTGAACTGCATAGTGAGATCCTGTTCAATAAATAAATAAAAAGGAAAAATGAGAAGAAAAATGTATAATTTCTGGCTTCTGGTATAATAACGTATTTGACTCACCTCTTCAAGATACCTCCTTCCCTATTGCTGAAGCCTTAAATTCCTTTAATAGAAGCAAAAGGACTGTTCCTCAAAGTGGCAGGGGTGAAGGGTGTGCAAGAGAGGAAGATTAACATCTAGTAAATCAGGGCTGCAAAGGGCACATGTGCAGAACTGGGCCTTTCCAGGTGCTCCTCTCTGTAACACGGTCATTCTGTGGCCCCTTCGGGTCTCAACCTCCCCGCGTGATGCTCTGTCATAGCCCTTCTGTCATCCAGGTGTGGACATCTCCCACAGAGTGAATTAACTAAGGGCAGGTTGTGTAGGTGCTGGGGGTTTTGTTTTGTTTTTCTTTTTATATCGGTAGGCTTAAAATCTAATAGAGTGCATAAGCACTCAACATGTATAATTAATGAATGCAGAAGTATATTGGGATCTCAAAAGAGAAAAAAATAGTTAAAAAAAAAAAGCTAAATTCAAGTTTGAAGTACCTTCTCAAACCTGAATTTAGCTTTTTTTTTTTTTTTTAACTTCTTTTCTTTCCACAAAGCACCTCTTCCCCAGCCCCTAGCTCTTCATGTCATTTTGCTATTTTCCACGGAAGGAACAAGTCAGTGACTCAGACACACACACAGAAAGATCACGTAGGGCGCATTCGCTTGTAAGCACAGTGAGTCTCAAGGTTAGTCCTGTAAAGCTGGAGTTACTGAGTGAGCGAGCTTTCATGAGCTTTGGCGCTCCCTTCCTTCATGTCCTGTGACAGCAGCTGCCGCACTCTTCATTGAGAGCTGAGCATGTCATCTCCTGCATTGTGCTCACTGGCTGGTTTGAGGAGGAAGAGTGGGTGACAGCACTTTTTTAAGCATATTTCTTTTTTTAAATTTGAGGATTGGATACCAAAATTTAATATTGAAATTATTTTCACAACTATGAGGAACTGCCCAATAGTACCTTTTTTTTTTTTTTTTTTTTTTTTAATTTATCTAGAATTCTGGATCCTTAACAATTTGTGAATGAAGAATTAATTTAACTTTCTGGTTTGGTTCTGTTGGTATTAAATGATATAAAAACAATTTTGAAAATTATAACCTAAGAGTGGAGCCTTAAAATACACAATGTGTGGGTTTTGTGTACATCCCACAAATGTATGATTTCAAACTCTTAAGATTTTTAAACATAATTTAGCACACCAGATGTTTCATATGGAAAATTTATACAGTAAATAAAACGTCTTAAAATCAAATTATCTGGTGCACTTTAGTTCAGCTTGAGGCTGCATATATATATATATATATATATATATATTCAGTTTTGAGTTGCTTAGAAGTTCGTAAATTCTGAATTCTTCTTGAAAATAAATTCAAGTGTAATGACTTACAGATCTCAAAGTAAGAATATCTCTTTAATCCAAGTATTTACATTTAGTCAGATTGATTTACTAACCAATTTGGTTGGGTTAGAATCTGTGACCTAAGAAGAAAGAGAATGAGGGAAAGACAGAGCCAAATCTTTTAAAACTACAGGGTTGGGTTTTTTGGGGGTTTTTTCCCCCCAAGAAAAATCCAGTAGCTAATACTTTAGCTGAAATCCTTGCTTTTCAGTCTGCGCTGTGCGGGTCTCTGAGCAGGACGTGCAGTGTTTCTGCGGGACATTTACCCTCCTTGGGCAGTGGGCCCCACATGCCTGCCCTCTGGCTGCTGCTCATGATAGACAGGAGCCCTCCACTGCAGGTGACCTTCTGTAGAAAAGGTTTATGTAAATTTTAGAAAAGATTGTAGAAAAGGTTTATGTAAATTGTGATGTAGTTTTAAGTATTTTTGTTATATTTTAGAAAATAAGTCATAAACGTAAAACAATCTTCTCTGAGCACCTCTCCCCCAGCCTGACTTTGGGCCCTGCCTGGTGCCAGAGCAACTTTCCCCAGAAATCCAACTCTGTGGATTGCCGCCTCACACTGGCTGGCCACCCCCATTAGAGAAACACTCAGCTCCTCCACTGAAGCAAAAGCAGCTAGTGTTTTATTGCTTCATGCCCCCACAGACCTAATATTTACATTCAGGTGAACCCTGTTTAATGTGTAAACTATTTGCAAAACAGCAGGAGTTCAAGGAAAAAGGTAGGGGTAGCGGTATCTTTAAAAATGGTTTCAGAAGTGTGACTAAGTTTGTCTTTTTTGTGTGTCTTTCTGTGTGCCGGTCCAACTGTTTTGTAGGGAAGCCTTCCTGTCCCAAAGGAGGTGAACCGCAAGAAGAATGAGGAGACCGAGGCTGCCTCCCTGACTCCACTGGGAAGCAGTGAGCTCCGCACCCCAAGCATCAGTTACCTCTACTCTTTTTAATCGTAACACCTCCATTTGTATTACATCTGGTGTATGGGTATTGATGAGGTCATGGTATCATATATGGGATTTTTTTCTGTGTAAATCATCAAGTATAAGAAGAAACTATGGGACTCTGAGCCCTGCTTTAGAGAATTTACAGTGGACAAATAGGTATCATCAAACCAGTTTTTGATCATTCTGACTCAAGTGAAACCGCTCAGAATTTCACACTGTGAATCCACGTTTACAATCCCTACAGGTGGGCCTTCAGGCCTGGTTCGCTACAACAATGTCTTCCACAACTCCAACTCCCGCCGCGCTCATATGACCGGTCCACTCCTGCCTTTCATTCTCACAGCTCCCGACTGCTTCTTGCAGAGGCTGAGAGTCCCCCCATTTTTTTTTTCATTTAGATGTAACAAGCCTAGTAGCTTATGTTCATCAATTGTCTGTATATCTCTATATTTTATCCATGTACTCTTTTTGATGTATAGAAGTAGTTTGAAACTCATTGTTTCCTTGTGGTAAGTGACCGAGATGCTGCCACAGGACCTGAGACACTGATGAATGGTGCTATTTTGGACTTTCAACATGCTCCTTGGCGAGGTAGCTCTGATGGAGTTATTTTTTATTTCCATGTTCTAAGAAGGTGTTGGTACTCTGTTTCCCTGAATGTTACTCTCTAGACTGGATTGACTTGTTTTCCTTGTGTCTTCAGTGTGGCTTTCTTCCTCAGTGTTGTAGGATGAACATGAATGAATGCTACCAAGAGTGGGAGAGACTGTCGTCTCGTTGGCTGGCACTCACGGACGTGCAGTCAGGGTAGCGGGAGCAATCGCAAAACTGTAATCTACTTACCAAATCTCTTCCTTTCTGTAGCCTCGCCTGCCTGACCTAGAGAAAGAAAAGCAATAATTTAACAGGCATTTTGAGGTGTCTCTTTGGATTCTTTTTGCTTGACCAGATATTTGGGGGAAAAGGGCCCACTCTTTTTAAACAAATACCCTGTAGAAAAAGCTCCCAAATGCTGGCATTTGAGTAGGGAAAATGAAAATTACACCTTTTCCAAAAATTAAGTTGGAAAAGTATCTTTACAAAAATAATAATAAAAATAATAATTAAGGCAGAGCACTTTATGGGGCAGTTTTGACAAGCAAGGTATAGATTTTACATTTTTGTCCTTGCTCCCAATGAAGTGGATAAAAAAAAATAAACCAGATAATACCATCTACTCATGGAATGTTGTTGTGTTAGCCAGTCTGAAAGCCCACCTTAATTTTTATATAACTGTCTTTTAGCTCTTCCTTTGACAGGGCAGGTCTTGTTCTGAACTGTTCTGCTTCTGACTGTTAAACACCGGTGACGCATGCGCTGCACTTCTTCTCTCTCGTTTCCCCATGGGCCTGAGTTTCCTGTGCATTCCTCCCAACCCCTTCCTTTCGTAGAATAGGTATATCAGCTGTGTAAATAGAGCAAGAAAACAGTATTCTGCATCTGTGGCATTTATGTAGAGTTGCAGTTGTGTGCTGCTGAAAGTGCAGGCTTTTGTAACAATGTGATCTTTACTGATGCACTCATAAGTACCCAATGTATTTTAGCTATTTTAGTAGTATTTGTTCAATAAATATGCAAGTTGTAAGGTACTTGTGTGACTTGGCTCATTATTGAACAGTCCTACTTTTGAGTGCCTCCCCTGGTTCATGCTAATTTTTGTTTTCCCTGAGTCCCAAAAGTCAGACCAGTAAACCCATGGGCGAATATCAAAAGAAACAGAATCAGCTCTGTCTGACATGCATTTTCCCTCTTGAGGGTTTTATGAGATTAGGGGCTAGGCAGGGGCTCATTAAGATGGTATTAGCAGAGCTGCCTCCAGACACAGAAGAGAATTAGATCAAGGTCCTTTATTTCTGGACTTTTCTCCCTTTCAGGGCTTTCCCACACATCTCCACATTTTTCTTTCTCTTTGCCATTAAGACCCACTTTGTGGTATTCTTTCTCCATGCCAAAAGACACCTGACCACACAGCTTCATGGAATCTTTGCACTTTTACATAGATAAATTGTAAGAGGATAAAATGTTCAGATAGAATTTTAAGTCATTAAGACTTAATTTACATGTGCCCAGCTACCTGGAACCTAGCAGAGGATAAGATGATATCGCCAAAATCAGTTTTTGGAGGCCACTTATGGCCTTAAAGGCTGGCAGTTCAGCAGACTTCAGCTCCCTGAGTGGAGAAATGCCTGTCAGTCTTCTCATCCATCATGAAAGTGAAATTTTCACTTGGATATGTACATGTTACTGAATTGATTGGCTGGGTGCTGATGCTGAGGTTTGACTTGAGCAGAACTAAGAGATAGAACATTTTGAGATAAAAACCAGAGAGAGGAGTTAAAGGTAGCATTGCCCCTACACTGAGAGCTCAGCCTCTGGAGAGCAGGCATGAGGAGCTCTCTGAGAAATCTGGGGCTTGACTGTGCATAGCAAGAGGGATTTTCAAATGAGGAAGGATGCTGATGTCAATATTGTACATTTCGGGTTTTTGAGTGCCTATTTACCATTAGAGTAGAACTAAACCTGAACTGCCTACTGGATAATCAGAGTTTGTTCAACTGAAGAGAAATTTTTAAAATGGAGTTAATGTCACCTCTGGATAATCCCATTCAGAGATTCATGCTCCTGGGTGTAAGTGAAATTGATATACTTGACTACTTTTTAGTCTACAAAATATACCCCTTTCCTATCACTTGCAGCATTATCCCAGCTGATGAGGGGGTGCACCCAGCCTTCCTGCCATGCTGGACTGGAACAGAATAAGGTGATGGCAGGGGCCATGGGGGTGGCATGGTTCCTTTGTTCCTATTTGTATTGTTCACCTACTGCCCCCTGACACAATACAACCACATGTTGGATCTTGAAACAAACTTTTCATGTCTCAGAGTCTGTTGGTCAGAAAGGAGCAGGTGAGCTGTAGTCACTGCTCAGGATCCCAGGACAGCAGATAAGATGGCTGCAGGGGCCACAGTGATTTTCAAGCTTGATTGGGATGGGAGACTCTGCTTTGACTGTGGCTCACTTCCAGGGCTGTGGGTGCCTCTATTTCTGCATTCATGGGTTTCTCTATAAAACTACTTAAGTATCCTCCTAACTTCCTGAAGTGTAAATGCAAGATGCGCCTAGGAGCAAGCCAAAATGCCTGTGATCTTTCTCAGAACTCACCATCATTTACCATATTCAGTTCCCAGAAGCAATACTAAGTATAATCCACACAAAGGAAGTAAGGAATTAAGCTCTACATCCTGGAGGGAGAAAAAAATTCACGCATATTTTTTGCTTAAAACTAGCACACTAATCTGATGTTCAAGAATTGAGTGTCATTGATACCAAGTGTTGGATGTAAGGAAAGCTTAAACCAGAATAATAGCTACTTCTTTAAACTGAAAAAGTTCACAGCCCCTGGAGCTCCAAGACTGAAAGTGTAAGAGGAAAGTATGCAAGAACTGTGATATTGTGGTTGCATGGGCTTTACTTACACAAGTGTTACTACCTGCACCAGGAATACTTACAGAATGGTTTTGGAAGCTATAAAGACAAGGAATCTGTAATAAATGTTTTAATGTCTGAGAAAATATGTGGATTGTTACATAGGACAGCTGCTTTGGCCTCTGTAAAGCTTGATATATTAAATGACTGACGCTACACATCATTTTAAACTCACAGGAGTCGTTAGTGAAGATCAGCTATGGGTTTGTTAAGGGCTAATAGCTACTGAGGTGGAGCTAAGACTTAGAGAGCTAGCTGAAGTCAGTGTGGGAAACACAAACTTCAGGAAGATGGCTTTGTTTTTTCACTAGAAACAAAAATATCACTATAGAGCATTTGGGGAGGCATTTCCAACAATAATCATCAGCCAACTATAACTTACAGACTTGTTTTATTTTACCTACAATATGTTTTATAAAAATATTGATTTCATCACTGATATTACAAACTGAAAGATTTCAACATGAAAATGTGAATGAAAAGCTGGACAAGCTACCAGTGGTGCAGTTGGAGCTCAGTAGCTGGCCCCACCTTTGGTTGAGGCTTCTCTGTCCTGGATGCCATGTCACAGTCTCTGTTCTCACACAGTTCAGTCAATGACATCACTCGCTTGCCTCTGTTGGCATGACAGTTTACAACATTAATCCTCTGATGTCATTCCATCTGCACCTCTGTAGAAATGTGTGCAAATATAAATGTGTACATGTATACACCATCTGTATAAATTATGATCTTTTCTAATACCAATCTGCTGAGAATAAGTCAGGGTCCAGAATAGTCCTTTCCCCACATTATTCTTTTAAAGATAGACTTCACCCATCCCACATCTTAATATGACACATTGTCTTTATGACACCAAAACTCGAGATGTAGCAAACAGTAATTCTCTAATGATGAAACATAAATCCCTGAGTTTTATCTCTCTCTCCTTATAACATATAAACATGGTTATGATGTTAATAAAATAAAAATGGGGAGGGCAGGAATATAGCTTAGTTCCTGCCTGGCAAACACAAAGTCCTGAGTTTGATTTCTGGTACAAAAAAAGAGTAGAAATGGGATGTTTGGACCTATACGTGTATTTTCAGAATTCAAAAAGAAAGGTGAAATGATGAGAATAACAACAATTTTGATTAAGCACTTTTTCTTTTTTCTCCTGATTCTCACAAAGAATACCTTGCTCTTGAGGGAGAATCCTGAAAGATGGAGACATAAGAAAATTGGTAGGAGACACTGCATACTAAAATGGGCTTCTTCATGTAATTATCAGCAATTGCTTTCCACTATTCTCAATATCCATCCAGGATGTATCTTGAGCAGGAAGAAAGTTAAATTGAAACAGCTGAGGTAGCATAGATTTCTAATGCTGATTCTTTTATTTTCTCTCTTCTTACTTGAGATAGGATCTCACTGTGTTAACTAGGGTAGCTTCAAACCCCTCGGCTTATGCAACCCTCCTGCTTCCGTGTTCTGAGGAGCTGGGATTATAGTCCTGCCATCAGGCCTAACTTGTTGATTCTTAGAAATGGAATGGAATGCTTTTTTTTTTTCATAATTTTATTGAGAAACAAATAATAATGAGACAGTTTCAAATCAAATTGGTAGGACAGTTTCAATAGTTAACACATTGCTTACATTCTTCCTATTGGTTAATTGCTGTACGAGATGCAGACATATTATTTACAAACACCATTAGAACAAGTCCCTCTATTCATTAAGAGAATGTAACTACATATCTATCCTAACCACTTTGAATGCACAGATACAAAATGGACATTCATCTCTATCCCCCTTTTTTGTTAAGTTCCATTATTTGAATATTAGAGGTGTGTAAACTCAGTAAAATATTCTAAAAGAGTCCAGTAGCCCATAATAGTATTGGGTCTTCTGTTTGACTGACAATGTCTGAAATTGTTGACCTGAGTCCCCTACAGCTCAATATAACAGCATGACTTCTTATATTTCATTTTCATACTTTTCTGCTGGATGGTTAAGACCAAGGTAAAGCAGGACCTATGCAACAAGAGTTGTAGCTTTTGGGTCTGATAAGGTCAGTGAAATCCCCT